ATATCGGACATCACTAGTTATCATTCATCCTGCTTTCATTCCTCTCTGCTCTGTTTCGTCCCCCTCCAACTAAAACTAACTCGACCTTTGACCTGAGAGCACTGTGCTGTGCAGGTCGTGAAAAATGATTCCATAAAGACGTCATGTCTGAAATGATATGAAGTAAAAAAGTACAAATGAGCCGATTGGCTTCATTGATCAAAATGTCCCATTACAAACTTAAGTAGAATAGAAAAACAAACACAAAAGGGTGAAGAGACTGAAAATATATATATTAATAATAATGATTTTAATAAATAATAATAAATTCTTCTTCTTTCTGTCCCTCGTGGAGTTCTCAAGTTCCCTCTCCTCTTGTTTATTACAGCAATTAAATACCCCCCCCTTCCTTACAGCAGCCTGTGGAGGTGTTTACATGCCCTGGATGAGTCCCATTCAGAAAACTGGTTGTAAAGAGTGTGTGAAGAGAGAGTGAAGCTGGCAACTTCAGTTTGAGCGTTTATCACCCAGCGGTCAGCGAGGCAGTTGGAGCGAGAGTGTTGGCTCTGTGCTGTATTTGGCGTCCCACAGGGAACCATTATAGGCCCGGTGTGAAGTGGACTGACCTCGGTGCAGGTGGGCTCCGGTGCAGCCAGCGATGACGGGGGGTGGTGGGGATGGGTAGTCCAGTTCATTCGAGTTTTTAGTCCAAACATGGAACCAGAAAGTTGAGTTACAATGATGAAGCTCTGTGTGACATTTGGAGGGTTTGTTCCAAAACCTTCAGCAGACAAACAGAGCTGACAGGTTGAAGCTGAAACTACTGTCAAACCAAATGAGGACAGAACAAATATTGACCCTCTCAGTTTAGCATCAACAAGCTAAGTGCCCCCGGCACGTGGCCTGTAATGAACACCTGCCTCATTCTGTTGGTTCAGCTCAGGTAGCAGCAAACCTCCTCATGTTGTTTATCATGATAACCACGATTATACAGCAGCAGACAGCTGTCTTCATTAATTAAGCTCTGATAAATCCAATTTACACCGTAGGGCTGTGTATTGGCAAGAATCTTGTGATATGATACATATCATGACATGATGATAACATATTTTGATACAGTAAGCAAGGTGATATATTGCTCTTTTTTTTTGCTCAAATTTAATTTCTAATTTTAGGAAAAGTATAAGGAACACACTGCCTTATGCCTAAACTCTGTACCAGAACAATGGGTGTCCCTGTAACACCCAACTTCATAACCCTTAGTTTACTTTTACAACACTGCTGTCTAGTTGATCGAGTTTTTGAGAATCTATCATAATCAGTATCACAAAACAAAATATGTTCAATATCGATGTTTTCTGACATCCCTAGTACACTGCCTGCTCAGCAGAAGAGAAACACAGTACGAGACGAGCTGGAAGGACTCCAGGAAACTGCAGCACTACAGTACTTTATTATAATGTTTTTGTTTTTGGATATTGCACTTGGCCATATTGCGATTTTGATAATAATGTGATTAACTGTGCAGCCCTACTAGCTGGTGGAGCATTTAACAACTAAAGAGACTGATATTTCCCTCAGGAGTTGGTAGAGACCAAAAACAGCTAAAAGAAAGACGTCTCCAGTGGGATGATGAAATGAAATTTGCTTGCTCAATAAATTTACAGTTGTATCTTCCTTCAGTGGCTCTAGGGTTAAGATACCACCATGAACGACCTTCGTTGTCAGCTCTCTGCTGCCGTCTGTAACAAAGGCTAAACTGAAAACAAAGATGTTAGTAAGCAGTAAAGTCCAGGTCTCAGACTGTCCCTTCGGAAGCATGTGGAGGACATTATCAACAGCACAAAAAGGGGTTTCTTCTGTCCAGCTTTCTGAGTTTCAGTCGCAGCTCTTAGGCAGGCGTTGGCTCGAAAGCTCAGGCGGTATTCATCGATGAAGTGCCAGGTTTTAATATTTGCTCAAATATCCTGGACGGAACGGATCCAGCCTTTTGTGAGGTTAACTATTTTTCAAATCTGCTACCTCTGTGCCATTTTTAGCACCTTTTTTATTCTCCATCGTGATGTGAAGTGTCACAGTTTGCTCCCAGGCCGACGGTGTTACCTTGCTCGGAGGTTTCAGGATTCATGCAGAGTTTCTTTTCGGCTCTTTCGGCCCAGCTACTTGTTGGTTAAACAGACGCCGTCACCTCACCCCGACCACACTTTCCACCCTTCCGGTGAAATACCACAGAGCAGCTCAGCATTTTCAAACTCTCTGGAATATTCCAGCCTCCCTCAGCACCTACAACTACCTGCAGTCCTCTCAGACAGACCAGCAGAGTACCGTTTTAGTTTGTCCTGTCGTCAGTTGAAGATAGTTTACGACTTCCCATAAACCTTCAGATACACACTCATTTATCCTTATACTATACATATACTTTACAACCCTCAGTCCAGCCATCTTACCACCAGAAATGGGATGCCACAGGGGTCTATCCTTGTTCTTTTGCTGTTTACCATCTACATAAATAGCATTACTCCTAATTAATACTTCAAAGCGGGCGCCCGGTTAGTTCAGTGGGTGACGCGTTAGTTCAGTGGGTAGAGCTGGCGACCCATGTACTGAGGCTGAGTCCTTGCTGCAGCGGCCCATGGTTCGAATCCGACCTGCGGCCCTTTGCTGCGTGTCATCCCCTCTCTCTGCCCCCCTTTGTTGCCTGTCTTCAGCTGTCCTATCAAATAAAGGCATAAAAAAGCAGAAAGAAAAAAATAAAAAATTAATACTTCAAAGTTAATTTTTTTGCAGATGATATAGTTTTATATGCCCCAGGTGCATCTGTAAAGATGGTCCTGTCTCATCTCATTCTATTCATTTCAATCCAGTAACTACCTAACCTTAGATGTCCCTCTCGCACGCACTGATGTTGGAAAAACTTGTTTTAGGTACTTTTAAATTGAAAGAACTGAAAACTGCCCTAAAACTTGAGCATTGCATTCCCATTGCAGATTCTAAAGGTCCAGTGTGTAGGATTTAGTTGCATCTAGCATTGCAGTTGCATATCTTAACTCACTCACTTCAGCCTCCCCTTCCAGAAGGCTCTCATTGTTCTCAGATCTCTATAAAACAACAAGTACCCAACAAATTTGCATTTCAACTCAAGGATGCCTCTGTTTCTCTCTGCCTTGTTTTACTTTGTTTTGACGGACAAAACTGTGTCATTAACAGGTGTCGGCGGGGCTGTGATCGAGAAGGCGGTCCACTCTGGGATGATCAACCCCAGCCGGCAGTGGCAGAGCCTGAAGCACAACGGCCCTGTGGCTCAGTTCCACTTTCAGGTCCGCCTCAGCTGCGACGAGCACTACTACGGCTTCGGCTGCAACAAGTTCTGCCGCCCTCGAGACGACTTCTTTGGCCACTACGAGTGTGACCAAAATGGCAACAAGACGTGCCTGGAGGGTTGGTCTGGTCCAGACTGCAACACTGGTGAGTGCTCTGAGGGTTATATTGATGAATTAGTCTGTTTGGTAAAGAACTTTACTGGTGATTCTGACTGTTTCAGCCCATAAACACTTTTATAATCTCCAAATCATATCAGCAGTTTTTAATTGATTTGACAGATATTTGAAACCAATATACATTTATTTTTACGAGCAACAGGAACCAGGCATTAAAAACTGGGCTACTTCATTACTCAGTCCCTCCAGGATTTGGTGGCCTTATTTTAGGTTTGGTGTGGCCTAAAAAGCCTGATTTCACAGCATCTTTTTTAAGAAAATGTCAGAGTCAACATATTCAAAATTCATGTTGTTCTTTCAGCCGCAACAACGTTTGCTAACAGTTTCTCTCTGTCTCTCTGCAGCGATCTGCAGGCAGGGCTGCAGCACAGAACATGGGTCGTGTAAAGTTCCTGGAGAGTGCAAGTAAGAACCAACACACTCGAAACACCCACAAGCAGCTCCCTATGTCTGTAAAACAGTATATAGACTCTATGTTCTGCGTCGGTTTTATTTGTTTCTTACAGGTAATTGTAACTGTGTGTGTGTGTCTCAGGTGTCTTTATGGCTGGCAGGGTGAGTACTGTGACCAGTGTATCCCTCATCCTGGATGTGTCCACGGCAGCTGTGTGGAGCCCTGGCAGTGTCTCTGTGACACCAACTATGGAGGACAGCTGTGTGACAAAGGTACACACACATTTGAAGGAAAATCTCGTCCTGAACGCCTCCTGATGCTCTGTTAACTTTGTTTTCTGTGGCTGACTGTCTAAAGTGTCCGTTTGCGTCTTTGTGCTGCAGATCTGAACACGTGTGCAACGCTGCAGCCGTGTTTGAATGCAGGAACTTGCAGCAACACAGGACCAGACAAATACCACTGCTCCTGTCCTGACGGCTTCTCTGGGGTCAACTGTCAGAGAGGTGAGAGGTCCGAGGTTCAGTTCCACGACCCAGAAAGGAAAATATAGCAAAACAAACAGTAAAAACAACATTGGGAATAAGAGAGTTACACCAAACCAAACGATAGAACAATGAAAAGAATGGATATGATTTATAAAATAGGCCTTTAACACTAAAAGCTTTTCAGCTTTTGTTGAGATAGTCCTGATTAAATGACTTGTTATATTAATGTAACTACTACTGGTGATGACAAGATGTTTGAGGTTCAAAGCTCCCAAGATCCCAAATTGTGACTATTTTTAACCCAGTGAGCTGATCCCTCCTGTTTCTGTCTGTCTCAGCGGACCGCGCCTGTCTGTCCAACCCCTGTTTGAACAGAGGAAGCTGTGTGGAAACCAGTCAGGGTTTTGAGTGCCGCTGCGCCCCCGGTTGGACTGGACCCTCCTGCTCCATCAGTAAGACCTGCTGAAACCTTTTAGCAGATCCTCTTTGAACCTCCTCTCGTTAGGCTTCACAAACTGATGGACTTTCTTTTCCTTCCTCAGATGTGGACGAGTGTCTGGTGAACCCCTGCAGCCATGGAGGGACCTGTCAGGACCTGGTTAATGGATTCAAGTGTACCTGTCCCCCTCAGTGGACTGGAAAGACCTGCCTCATCGGTCAGTGCTGCTTTCATGCCTTATTCACACTACACAACTACCTGTCTGTAATCTGGAGTCTTGCTGATTTGCCTCTGATTTGATGTACGGAGCTAAAATCACATATTGTGAAGTCGACATAAGAACCAGAACTGTTGCTTTTCTTGAGAAATGTAGAATTTGGTTTTAGAGGCTTTTTAGGAAACTTTTTGGTGAAGTTATGATTCATCCCTTCCATTATGGAGACCTTTCATCAGTTTTATGTACAAATAAATCCTCTCATCAGCTTCCTCCTCGGGTGTTTGCAGCCCTGCAGGTCGGAGCGCCATCCTTCGCCTCCTCCCGCTGGGACTCCTGAGTCTTTTTTTCCTAATCTCCAGTATGATCCCGGGAGCAATGGTTGTGGTTTGGAGGCTTAGAGCCCCGGATCACCTCACTGCAGCGCTAATCCACCGCCAACTGCCAGCCACATGCGCCCCAACCTTTATCTGTGGCTGGTTAGTCTGGTCTGCCAGCCCCGTTGTGGAGCCTATTTTCCACAGCTGAAAGATTTTAGACACATCTACTGCCACTGACTGAAATCCACAATAGCAACCTGGTCCTCCAGATGAACCCATTAGCACTGTTTACATTTCATTATTCCAGCGACTCAGGAAGGATATTTGTCCCATCTGTCGCCAGAGTGCTGTAACTCCCCACCTTTGACATCTGTATGCCTGGATGTGTATTCACTGATGAAAGCTAATGAAGCATCATTTAAAGCAAAACTATGTAACATTTGCTGAAAATGAGCCACTGTGACCTTAAGTGGCATTTACAGGATAATAATAATGATAATAATAACTTTATTTATACAGCACCTTTGAGTTTACAAAGTGCTTCAACAGACAAAGCAAGAACAGGATACTCAGAAGGCGATATGACAACAGAGAGACAGTGGAGACGAAAATATATATAACATAATTAATCAATAAAAATAACTTTAGCTTCAATAATTTACTCCTTTCACTCATTAGAATATATGAAATATGTAATATCATTTTCCTGCTGGACACAAGGTGTCTCCTCCTGCACTTTAAGTCCATCCTCAGTGTC